CCACATGCGGTAGGTGTGCCTGCTTGAGCAGGAAGGTTGGACTAGATGATCTGTAGAGGTCCCTTCCAACCTTAAATATTCTGTGAATCTGTGAACTTGGGAACTTCTCCCTGTAACATTTCTAGCCTGAGACGCACTAATGTTATAGCATTTTATCAAGTCATTTGGTTTTGATGAATCTGATAATGACTTTTACTGTTCTAGTAGTGCAACTTAATACAATAAAAATGATAAAGAAGTGGTAAAATTGCAGGTACAATAAGTACCAGTCAATCAACATTGAAATAATTTTAAAATTTAGCCTTGTAATTATTTATATATCTTTGAAGGGTGGAGAGAGGCGATTAATCTGAGACATCTAAGAACAAAATTTGGGTGTGTGATCTAGCTAAGCTACATTCTTCACATGTTCCATAAAGTGTCTGCTTGCTGTTCGGGTCTTCCCAAATCCCCATGGACCACAGAGGTGGGATTTGAGTTTCAAATTTTTCTTCAAAATCCTGAGGGCTTTGTTTCTTTCTGTTGTTCATGTAATCACTCTGTGCTCTCATTTCACTCTGGAAACTTCAGAAAAGTCATATGAAGCTACTGAGGGGTCAGTGATTAACTATCAGTTTTGCGCTGATCAGTTCTTTTGGCTTCTGGGAAAACAACATCCTTGGTACACCAGTGAAAAGATGAGCTATAGTTTCAGGTATGAGCAATTATACATTTTGAATTAAAGAGGCTTTGAGGTACACAGGAAAATGATCAAAGTTCATATTTAAGAAAAGTCTACCTCATCTAAACTGCCATAACAARCATGAAGACTCTGATACTTGGCATTTCTTTCCTTGCAGAGAATTTAGGCATCAGTGCAGCATGTGGGTGGGGCAAGCCTGGAGGAACGGGGCTGTGAGGGCAGAGCTGCCTGCCTCAAAGCCCCTCAGCAGAGATGGCATATGCAGGTGCAGGTGTTGGCTGGTGTCCAGCGGTGGCTTGTGTGGCTGGTTGAGAAGCTTGTCTCAGTCACCTTGCAACCCTAACTGGGAGACTTGTGTGTCAGCTGGCCCCAGGACCCCCCGCTGGAGCCRCCAGTGGGGTATGGCTCTGTCCCAGGGCAGTGGGACAGGCTTCCCAACAAGGCAGTGCACCACGCTGGCAGCTCTCTTGCTGAGGGACAGGCAATTTTGGGAATTGGGAGAATCCTACTTCAGGCTGCCAGTGGTTYCTCATGGAGAGGTGCCCATTGCTCAGGGAATGGGCCTGCCTGGTGAAGGGCAAGGATGGGCTGGCCTTCCTGGAGGCAAGCTGCATGCAGGGCTGTGCAGTGTACCCATGCTGCGTCTCTGCACGTGTTGCGTCCTGGGGACACCAGCAGCAAAATTATCCAGAAAAGGTGTTGGCCAACTGTGAAGAGAACTGCAGCAATAGGGCACCTCCAGGATTTTCCTCCTGCCTTAAACACCCTTGCGGGAGGGTTATGGCCTGAAAAATAGCACACAGGGTCAACTACAGATGTCCATTCCATCCAGGCAAGAGCAAAGGTATGTCACAGCTTGATATGCCACAGCTAAACTGTGAAAAACACAAATGTACAAAAAAMCCCCCCCAGACCTAAGGCCATTTACTGTGTAATTCTAGTGTAAGTGAACGTCAAAGTAAGTAGAAAAAGGCACAGGAGAAAKCTTTAAGAAACTAGTGATCTCACCTAAAATACTCAAAATGTTTGCAATCCTTAAATTTACTTTATCATACAGTATACTTTTTGGGCCATAAAAGTAACATTTAAACTTTGCTGAGCCTTCATAAAATTTCATGCTGTTGAAATGGCACTTACTTGATTTTCCAGCCTGCTCCATGCTCTAGCAGAGTTTCGTTGTGGCTGTACCATCCTCGGCATGCTGTCTGTGAGTACATTACTCAGAAGCATAGACTCTGGATTAGGATGTGCCTTGTGGGACCTGGTGGTGGAAGAGTATGTTTTATATTGTAATAAAGTTCTACATGCCTCTAAGCCCAACTGTTTAAGAGCTTCCAAAACAAAGTTGCTAGAATTTCACAATTTGTTCTTGCAACAGTTCAAATCTAAATGGATGAGAAAAACCACAAGACTTTTTGAGAAGGGTTTGTTTAGCTACTGCACGCCAGAAACCTTACTCTGTCAACTTTGACAGCTGCAGTACATTTGGGATGGGTGGAAGAGGTCCCCTGGAAAGTCTGTGTTGTCACCAATTTGTTTTGTGACTTTCTCTGACGGCTAGAAAAGGGGTGGTAGCCAAGTTCTAAGGGAAGRGTATCCAAGGTCTAAGGGAACTGCTAATGTTATTACCACCAGGATAACTCTGTGTTCTGGGAAGAAACAATCCTCTAGTTACCACAACACAGCATGACATTGAATTTAGTATGACATTACATTTAAACATTGCCCTCTGTGTACACACAGTAGAGCACAGATATGCAATTTTACTTTTGCCTTCCTGTGACTTATGAAATAAGTTAGAGGAGAATAAATAGGATATATTCGTGGCCGTGGGCCCAATATCAGGTGGCCACRGGCCCACCTGAAGTGCCTGTTTGCTTGCACTGCAGGCAGCCTTGGGAGACATGAGGACATGCAGAAACACACAGAGCCACAGAGCTATGGCCCCRCTGCTGAGAGAGAGATGTGGTGGGGTGGTTCTCATCCCTGGGGCGCTGCGGTGGATTGACAAAAGGCTCTTAAGGGAAGACAAGCAGAGAAGACAAGGAGGACAGAGTGCCTGTACTACACAGTTGGTGCCAGACCTGCTGAAAGCTTATGGTCAGGAACAGGGGGAGCCCAACAAGAGGAACATAGGGGTGAGTGTCTGCTAATAGCTGCTTGATTAATAGGAAATGTATGAAGTCATCTGTGTATACAAATGGAAGAAGTCTCCTCTGGATGACAGGTCTGGTCCTCATGGAGAACCTAAACTACCCTGACATGTGATGGGTGATCAACAAGGAGAGCACAAAGATTCCAGCAGATTTCTAGAGCTTACGGTGCTTCTAGGTGCTTACGGCCTGGTACTGAAGCCGGTACTGCTTAACATCTGGACAGTCATGAGTAATCAGTGAAACAGGATGGACCCTCATTAAGTTCAGAGGTGATACAAAACCTTTGTAGGTTTTGGTAGGTAGGTAGATTTCCACTGGAGGAAGCAGTTGGTGTGCTGGAGAGCAGGTCTGCTGTTCATGTGAGCTGTCCTGGACAGGAACCAAATGACATTCAAAAAAGACAAAAGCGAAGTTCTGCATCTGAGATGAAATAAGCACGTGCAGCARTACAGCCTGGAGGCTAATTGATGGGGTAGAAGCCTTGCAAAAAAAAGGACTTAAAAGTGGACAGTAAGCTGCATTAAAGTCTGCACAGCTGAGAAAAAGAACTAATTCATGTCCAAGAAGCAATGAGCAATGAGCAACCACACAGCACCCTTCTATCTGACTTAGGCCATCCCCAGTGTCCAGTTTTGATATCACAGAGCCAGCTGGACACCTGGAATCCCAATGTTGAGCACACCAAAGAATGTAATTCCACCTCAGCTTTCAAATGGAGCTTTTCCTTCCTATCCTGCTGCTGTGCAGCAGTGATGGATGCCGCACAGAGCTGTCCCAAGTACAAGAAATCACATTTGCTCTAGCAGGACAAATTAGCCTCAGGAATGTGAAATACCACTTCACCTGTCGAGAAGCAGAACCTAGCAACTATATCTTCATTAAACTATCCTGGAAAGGAAACAAGGCATCTCTTCCTTTCCACCACAGGCTACAGTAGGCTACTTGGTAAAAGTTTCCTGTGACTGCTTTCCTCGTTAGCACACATTACAAGATCTCAGTTGTCACAGGTGTGCAGATGTCTATTGTTTCCTTGTTTTAAAATAGTCTAATATGACATTCAGATTGTGGCTACTTAGAAAAGAGCCCATATGGATAATACAAGCAGATATAATTAGTGTTTTTTTGAGTGGATCTCTTTATGCTGATACCACCTTGTCTTATAAGCAGATTGATTACAGCAACATGTGGTAGCTTTCAGATTTCAGGCAGCATTGTTTTCCATGTTCCTGCAATATCCCCTGGTCCTTAAAGGGCAGGCAAGGCTCCCACTTTCTTTTTCAGGAAGACAGTCAATGACCCTTTGTCACTGCATGGACATAGAAGAAGATACCACTGGTACAGGTGSCACAACTCATAATTAGCTGTGCTGCATCAAATGAGATTATTGAGTTCATTCCTAATTTCCCATTGTGTTGGAAAGAGAACTGATATTTTAACAGTAGTGAACAACATATTAACAGTTAATTTGAGGTATGTGGAAGGAAACTCTGTTCTTGGTTTATTCCTTTACATAAAATGGCTGTTATACTGGGCCAGTTGTTTGCAAGATCAGCCATTATCTCAATTTCCATATGAGCATATTTTCTGTCTGCACATACAGGACTTTGGGGGTATGGTGTCATGATATCTTCAATGAGATAAAATYCTTTGTCCACAGGGAGAAAAAATCTCCATCCTGATTTATTGCTTAACCTCTAGGGAAGAAAAATACTGAGTACATGATGTTCTCAACCTTCTGGCAAAGACTGCAGACAAAGGAGGGTAAAATGGGAACTATGTTTTATTGGCTATTCAGAATATGATCCCTCTCTTCAAAAATAAATTACATCCTGTAAATTCACTTCATTTTTATCTTTATTTATAAAAAAGCGCCCTTAAACATATGATAAACACTACTCAGGGACAAGTTGGTTTAACAGCTTTGGTAATATTCAAAGATTTTAAATTGCCATGGTTTCAACTTTCACTACACATCTGTAGACTTCTAAATGCAATTTCTCATTACGGGGCGGGGGGAAAACAGCCACTCTTAAACAGTTCTTGAGCATTGCCACTAAAATTAATTGTTAAACTATTAAACTGTAAATTGTAGCCATGATTGTATCAATCTCTAAGTAATAACCTTATATTGCCATTAAAATCTTACCACATCTGTTGTAGCATAAAGCATTATAAGACTGCTTGAAATCATACATATATCTTGCTACATGCTGTTTATAAATTCTTGCTAAGAACCACTATTGAATTATATAGAAAATCATTTTCTGGCAAAACTCTTGTTAAGAAAAACTATTTAATTATGTAGAAAGTTATCTTCTGGCAGATGACTGGTTTCCAAATATTTCTGCTGCTBTTTACTAATTTCTTAGCAAAAAAAAAAAAAAAAGTTTCCTGATTATTCAGTATTATATTGAGTGCAGATTATCTGGAAGATGGAAAGGTACAACAACTGCCTTGTCATCATGATGCACAATTCTAGCACCATCTCTCCATAAATCCTGATGGACCGTGGAGAACAGGCCCTAGAGACCTAATCAGCTAAACGGCATAGAGGAAATCCTAGCATAAACCATGCAGTAACTCAGAGACTAATAAAAAAAATATGTTAAAGGTGGCAGTAAGCCCTAGCCAGTGAGATCTCAGCTGCATTGATACAGTTTAGAGAGCTTGGATGAAATTATRTCTTCCTACTAAGAAAAAGATTTTTCCTGTGTTTTTCAGATTTACAGTGAGCCTGGGCTTATAGCATCAGTTTTGGAAATGACCTGGCCCAGCAAGAGCAGAAGAGAATTCAGTACCCAGGAACTTTAGAGATGGGCGCAAGAGGCTGAAGTTCATTGTTTTTTGACAAAAGGGTGAAAAAGTAAGTTGTTCTGGGACTAATAATATGGTATTGAAAGTCCTTTTGTTTATGAAAGGGTATTAATATGTGTGTTTAGGTACAGGGAACCTGAAACAGTCCTTTGAACTTCTACTTAGAAAGGCAGGACACAAATCCTGTTGAGAGGATCTATCTACCAAAGTTCAGTCTCTTGTAGGAACAGATCTTGCAGCTTGTTTGTGAGTATAGCATTTATTTCTGGAATGAACTCCCATGCTATCGAGATCTGTGGAATAGGAATCAGAAATTTAGGCTGAGAGAGAAGAAATGCTGTCTCTGAATTTGGGAACTGCTTGTAAAAAAAAATAAGCTGTTGCTTCATACACATTTCTCTGGGTAACCCTCAGTTGCATACAGTCCACTAAGGCTTGTGTGTGGAGCACCAAGAGATCTRTCTAGATTTGTAACAGCATTTCTGTTTGTACCAAGTCCCTGTCATGTTGGAAGTGTTGTTTCCATCATCACTGTGATGCATCTACTGCACTGGCAATAAGCTCTCATTAAGCAACTTGTTAAATTGACATATTGTTCTAGATAGTAKATCATATGTCTTTTAGGTGTGTCTAATCAAGATGAGAGGACTCAGAATTTACAGTGCTCCTAAATATAATTCCAGTCTGTTCTAAAAGATTGATAGATGGAACATTGTTGCATATGAAGGAACCTGCAGAAATCATACTAGTAACTCAGTAAATTGTAAATAATAAATAATATATTCTTAAATATAGTTAAATAATATATACAAAATATAAATAATAATGGCTAAAATAAACTATTTTGAGATCTTGCAATAAAGACATGCAACAATTGAAAGCTAACCTTATATTAAGAATAAAAGTAATTGTGCCTTACCCTCCTTGGATTTGCCCCGTGGAAATAACTGTTCAAACAGCTGACATCCCAAGATGAGAGTGGGCTGCAGTGCTTGCCCAGCTCCCCACAACTTGTGCACAGTACTGGCCTCTCCCTGCAGAATAGTGATTTCCTTTACAATATGAAATGCATCATTCTGATGGAAAATATGTCATGTAGAGGGGCTGTTCTGGATTCTTCTCCTCCTTGCCATGCCAGCTGTATAAAGCTCAAATCCCTGAACCAAGAGAAGGAAAACATTTGGCCGAGAGAACACTGCAGGTGATATGTCAAAGTTTGTGTCAAACCTGCCACCAGTCGCAGCTTGGAAGATGTTGATTTTAGCTGACTACTACTTAAAATAAGAAACTCTTCACTGTTCAGAACAGATGTAGCATTATGTTACTCATGCTACCTGCCCAGCTGCTCCACATCAGCATGCATCTCTGTCTCCTATTTGTATTCAGTGAAGGTCTTAGATGCCTCAGAATTAATTTGACTTTTTGTAATGTATTTCTTGGAAAATTAAAAACATTCCTAAAAGCCATTAGGTTATCCGCTGAAGAACTGACAAGGCTGAATGTTACTATTAAAGTTTGCAGAGCTAAAATGACTGTGACAGGCTATAAAATCTACATATTCCTTTAAGTTTAGAACAGCTTAGCAAACTTACAAAGAATAAATGTGATTCCTCCATTGCCATATCTATATAAAAAAAAAAGAACATTTGTCTATAATAAACTATAATTAAGTATCTCCTTCAAGAAAAAATAACTAAGTGATGGCTATCTATCTAGCACGTGACAAACAAATTGAGAGCTGTTAAGAGAAATAAACATATATTTAGTGGGCAAAGTAATTGCCATGCTACTGACTATTTGGAAGGTAGAGCAAAACACATTGTAGGAATGATGTCAGGAATCTCAAAGTCATGTTTACACTTTTGCAGTACCAATTTATTAACAAGAAGCATAAATATACCTGCTGCATACAGGGTATCACACAGTTAGGGTTTGCACACCATAAAGGCAGTTTCCTATTTATAGATACTGAGGCAACTTTGCAGGTCTTAGCAATATAATTCTTCATAATTTCCTCTCCCACACATCATTTGCTTCCTAGCTGTTCGGAAGGTATTTGATAGCAATATACCGTATTGAAAATGGTGTGTTTTTTAACAGCAAAAACATAAATGCAGTTGCTAAGTTAGTTTACTGACCAGTTAATACTTCTCTATCAGCTGCTGTGTAGGTGTATCCCCCATTCCAGTAAGATCTGTCTGCAGATTTTGAGTTACCTTTCTGCAATGAACTGTTCTTTCAAGTATATACCTTAAGATGGCTCATAACTTTTCTCCCAGCCTTTTGTCTATGTCTTTGCTATGCTAGGTGGGCTCACAGCAATTTATTTTCTCGTTTTGTGCAATTCTTAGAAAACAGTAATGAATTTTCAGTGGCTAACACCAATTTCACATATTGGTTGATGCATCTTATGTAGTGGGAAGAGCAAAACAGGTGCCACGTGGAAGGTTATATATTAAAACTATTAAACTACTAACCTTTATGCTTAAAGCAAATCTTAGCAGACAATTTTAAAATAATTGGAAGCTAAGTAATATAAATTATTTCATCTTTTCAAAGAAAACAAGAAAGAAAAGCAAGAAGATGTTAAAAATACTCACAATTCTCGGAAAAGCTGTGTAGCAAGCTGACACAGAAGTTAGGATGATTTTTTTACCAGTGACAGTAGCATATGCTCCTCCCCCTCCTCCTTTCTCTTTTACTTTCAGTTGTTATATAATAACTACGGGCTACATCTGCACCTAATACACTGTGAAAATTACTCTTACCACAAATAGCAGAGGGGAGGGAGTCCCCTTCTCTTTCTGTACAGTTTTCAAACTTGCGGAAAAACAAGGTGGGGAAAGGCGTATGACTCCTGCAGAGAAGGAAGGCTAGAAACAGGGATGGAAAAGCACTACAGGCAGCTGCCATTGCAGCTTGTAGTCTGGAGCAGACACTTTTATGCACGCTGCCTCTTACCATTTCCTAAATGGAAGGCAGTGCACAGTGTGTGTCTGTGCGTCTAGCCAGTCCCCGCCCCTACATAACTACGGTGAGTCTTGCCAGCCAAAGGTCCTAAGAGTTGTTTACTTTGCAAGCAAATAATGATACTTCATGCTGTAATTCCTCTGGTTCTATGAAGCCCGGATTGTATTCAATTGCTACCTGAGAAGAAGTTGCCTTTTGAGGCAACGTGAAGAAGAAGGAGCAGGACCATTAAAAATGACAGGCAGGGAAGAAAAGAGATTCCATGAAGAGGGTGGCTTCTAGCTTGCTGCAGGGTGACAGGGCACAGAGGTGGTATGAGCACAAATGACAGGGGAACTATATGCTTATAAAGGAGCTGAAACCAGTACCTTGCAGATTGCACTGAAATCAAGCATCATGGATTTTAGCCATAAGGTAAGTGTGGATTTCGTGTGTATGATATATGCTGGACATGGCAGCTCTAATTTTTGACACCTCACAACAAGAAACCTTCCTACCTTGAACTTAAGTTAAATTAGTGGCCAGAAGATTAAGCTCAGCAGCTCCTTAGGAGTGTTCATAGGCTTCAGTCATCATCATGTGATGCAGTTCAGAGGCAACTGTAAATATGGCATCTCTTATCTGTGTCATCTTTTTGTCCTCTTGTTCATTATTTGAGTATGGTTATTATTCTCTGTGTATTTGTCATTCTCTGTGAGGTGGTAAGGATATTCTGTGGCTACAGAGGGTAAGAGGATTTCAGCAGTGACCATATCYGGTTAAAGAACAGATGAGCGTCTCCTAGAGTTGTGCATTTCCTTCCTGTTTCTCAGAGAAATAGCCCTTTGAAAACCTGGGGAACAATGCTAGTTGGTTCTCTAGGCTGAGATACTCTAGTACAAACAAAATCAAGAATTAGAAAAAAAAAATAGGAGTTCCTTGTCTTAAAAAGCAGTTAGATCAAATAGAGCAATGGCATTCACCGTCTAAGTTCAGAAGGCTGCATGGTGAATTCACTTACCTGTCTGCAGAGAAGGTGCTCAGGTGAGATGTGGGGTCCTTSCTTAGCTCTTGTGCAGGATGTGGTTCTGATTCACAACCACTGCAAAGAACGTTGCAACCATTTAAGTGGAGGCATAAATGCAGAATTCACTGTCATGCTCCATGTGGCTCTTGCACATACTCTGTACCTGTGTCTCCAAAGGAAAAGCTCTGCACACCTCTAGTGTGTCTCAAGAGATAAAGTTAGTGTTTCTTTAAAAGAATGAGACTGTCAGAACTGGCAGCCAATGCAGCTGTGAGCAAGACTTGAAAGAGAAACTAAAAGTACAGAATTAGCACTTGATGACTTATAGCTGGAATTCTTGCAGTGACAAAATATGGAACTGCAAGTAGAACAGTGTACGGGCACTGCAGGAAAAATATCAGCCTCGATGAATATCTGTGCTGAAGGAACGTATTTATCTATCGGCTGTCTTGTAATTAAAGAAGCTTCTTGTAAAACAAGAATAGTCATAAACGCTTTCTTCAGCTTTTTGTGGCTTTTTCCAAGATTGACGATAAATACTTTCAAGTAGATGTGTGCATATATGTCTGTTTGAACTTTAGATTCTAGTCTGCCACGTTTTGTCAGTGTTTAAAACTGAAAGACTGCTTTTTAGTTTTTTATCTTTGTTAAACTAAAGCATGTCAGAATGTTCTCAGATAGGAAAACTATATGAACAACAAAAAATAAAAAGCAAAAAAAGCATTAGGTTTATGTAAATTCTATTATATTTTGTGGGAAAAGAGGGAAAAATAACTAATTTTAATATTTTTAAAAATCACTTCCAGGACATTTTTCTTTGAACCTTGCAAAATGGAAACACTATGTATGTATTTTTTTCTCTTTTTATATTTTTGACTATCTCTTTGGCTTTACTTTTCTTAAAGACTATGTTTTGCAAGCATTTCTGAAGTTAAAATTTACTTTTTCTAGCTTAATTTAGTAACTGTTCCTAAACTGTTCATTATACAGTAGTTGTATATGAAAATGATGCAGGTGTCAGTATGTATTATGTTCTGAAAGGGTTGCAGTACCACCTGCACTCCCTAAACGTTCAATTTTCATTCATTTTCTTAATTACACAAAAATGTGCTTACTAATTACACAGGGGACATTTTATAGTCATCTGAACACTACTAGCCATTACAAGGTGTTTATTTATAGCATAAATTATTCTCACACACTGCTGTGAGCAAAATATCTCTAATTTATGCAATTCTCATTTATAGTGGACACAGACTGGCAAGATATTGGCAATTACTCTCACTAATGAGCTACTAAATTGTAATTTAGTGTTATAATTGAATAACATGAATAACTTAAAACGTGCAAACAGTGAAAATAGATCTATGAATGTAATTGTGAAAATAAGAAAAAAATAGCTGAAAATTCAAACATGAGCATTCTGACTGGAAACAACGTCACCCAAATTGTGTGGCTACACTACAGGCAACAGCAGGTTTGATTTTGTTGTACTCCTAAATATTTGCCTCTAGTCCATGAAATGAATTTCTCTAAAATTGGTGTTTGTTCTGGCACTAAGCACTGAGGGAGCAGAATGGCRCCCCAGCTGTTACTACAGTGAGAAAAAAGGGAGAAGGAGGGAGGGAAGAAGGCTCATCTAGAGCAGTGTGGTGTGTGTGGTTATACAGAAGTGCCCTGTGTTCTGMAGGCAGTCCTGAAAAAAGCAAGTCTTGCAAAAGCAGATCACCTCAGCARGGTTCTCAGATTACGCAGACCTGGCTTTCTTTTGAAAAATTTTAAATGGCTGAAGATAACTCTAGGCTATTCTTTTCTCATGTACTGAATATTAGCTCTTCTCAAAAACTGTCTTTGAGATGGAAGCCTTCTGTGATAAGACACCTTCAGAAGTCCTACAAGAGTTCCCTACAAGAAAAAGCATGAGGATATGGATCATTCTAAACAAAATTGTAGATTTTTTAACGTATGTGGAATCAAATGTGCTGACAGATGCATAAGACGGTATTTGCAATTTGAATATTGTCTCTGCCATCAGAAGTGTGTTTATTTTTTATAGTATTCCTGCTCTACTCAAGAAGTTCTCTGCAGAGTGAACTACTACACTCTCCATTCTCAATGCCATGAATTACTGAATATAGAAAAGGAAGAACYGTTGGTTTATTTTGCTGGGTGAAAAAATGGCAGTGAAGAGCCAATTAACAGGTACGACTTGTGCTCACCTCACTCCCAGGGTGGCAGCTGGTGGAGGTAACTTGGGGAGAAGCAGCCTCTTCTTCTGACAAATCTCCCTGGCATCCTTCAATACTGAATGCCAAAAGCTGGGGTTATTGGGCCCGCCTGGACAAGGACAAGGCTTGAGAGGTTGGATACTCCTGCTCGTGGCAAGTCATGGAGTGCCTTGCTTTTGAGGAACGCTGGCGATCTTGTATGAGAAGGTACTCACGTAACTCTGTTTGGTATTTTCTAGGATAGTGCATTTCTATAAGCTACAATCTTCAGCAAATGATAATTGAATTTGCAAGCTGTCCTAAACTAKCTGCAAAACAATGCATAAACCAATATGCAAGTCTGAAATAACTGTATGGCAGTTCTACTGCTGTTTTAGAACATGCAAAATATACTAACCATGTTACCAGCTGGGAATGTGTGCCTTCTGAAAATCTAGCAGTTCCTGCTTCATGATTGGTAGAGTGTTTTAGATAGTCTGTCTCTCTTGTCATATTAAATTATAACGTGTCCTAAATTATAGACTCTTCAGATTGGTTATTAAAAACTTAAAGCATCTTATGAATGCTATTTAATTTCTAGACACATCTGGAGAGACATTAATATTCTGCCTTTCAGAAGCACACACAATATTTCTRGCATGTTATAATTTGTTATATGTTATAATTAATGCTATAATAATCAATGTTATAATAATCAACTAGCCATTTAACATGAGCTATTCCTATTTAAGGAGATAGTATATCCAAGTAAAAATGTATCCTTTGCTAAGCTAGCAAAATCAAAACAAAGGGAAGAGCATTTAATGCTTGAAAAAAAAAGAGTAGGATTGAGTATCTCAATTTGTGCAGAAAGTTATCAGAGAAGTACACAGTGAAGCTTCGGCCTGTTAGCTGGATTTGTGTAAGGAGCATTTGATTACATATATTTTGTTTAACAGACCTGGTGAATAAGCACTAGCCTATTTAGACACACTATTTGCAGTATTTCAGTCTAAAACCTTGGCAAAGTTAAGAATTGCTCCTTCTTAAACAGGATATATAAAAAGTGACTTGTCATGATACAGCAGGTCTTACACTAAATAAAATAAAAATATGAATAAAAAGCTAGCTGACGTGATTGATTTCTGGGCTGTGTCTTAGCACAGTGTAAAACAGCAGTCCGGAGGCATGGCTTCGCCATGGCAGTGCTCTCTGTTTATATTGGTGCCATTTCCTTTTAAACTAAGCGAAGTGGAGTAGCCCCACAGATTCCTGGCAGGCACTGTGGATACGGTGCTCACCCATGTACAGAACTACAGGCCAAGCCCACAAAACTGCTAGGAATCTAATACTTGCTTTAGCTCCCAGATAGAACTAATTTTCCAGCGCTTTTTTAAAGTTAGGTGCTGGAGCCTTGGCCTGTCTGCTGCTT